ACCTCACCAATATTTTTGAAGGTAATCTGTTTTTAATTACGTGTATTAAGTTCAACCAATTTACTTTCCTGTTTTTGTAGAACTGGTACCGTACTGGTACTATCGATAGTTTTCGATAGTTAGCTCTAACGTCCGTTAGGTTCTTGCACAAAACTGAACTGCAAAAATGCAAAACAATGAAAACCGTTTTTGATTTCCTTGCTTTATTTTTCAGGGACAATAGAAAATTTTCTGACAATTATAAAAAGTAATCTGAAAGGTCTGAAACGATTTTCAGTACTGCTGATGCGTGGTGCCATTATTTCTGACATGATAATGATAATGATTTGATTTTATACAAAAATTCTAGGATTTTAGAATAAGATACATATTTTTAGTGTTAGAAAAAAAAAATTATTTTTTACTGCAAATGAGATATCAGAGGCGAGATTCTGTAACGGAAAGAGATCGTTATCCCTATCGCTATATGGCACTTGCTGCCTTCTTCTCTCTTTTCGAAATCAATAGAGAGGGGACGTACGACGTACGTCAATAGAGATAGCGAAAATCATGTGAAAATATCTCTATTCCTTACAGAATTCCACTGCAGATGTTGATGTTAAAGTTCAATATTTAGCTATTTCCCATAATCAAAGATTTTTAGTACACAATAATCTTTCCTTTTACCTAGTAACTTGTATTTAATTACTATCGAAAACTATCGATATTTATCGATAGTTAAGGCCCTGACTATCGATAACTATCGATGGTCGTGACTATCGATAGTTCTCCACCTCTACTTGACAGAAACAATAATAAACAAGTTGATGACATATTTTTTTTTGCAATATGGGCATGTGTATCATTTTGAAATAGAATAAAATCCGGCAGCATTGCGAAATGAAGGACGTGGAGAGGCGTGATTATTCAGAGGCATGATTCTATTGGTTAGAGCCTAAACGACAGCACCAGTGGCGTGGTTATTGGTGAAACTCGTGAATTTTTTTCCTAATAATTTTTTGGTTTATTTCCCTGACCAAGCGAGCTACCAAGTTACCACTTGCCAGTCTATACTATCCTTCCAATTATTTCTATGTTCTATGCTTTCATGAACTTAGCTACACCGCCATTTTGAATAGTCACCCGAAATTGTGATTTTATTTTGAAATGTGCTTTTATTTTACATAATTAAAGTACTAATTTGTTTTTTATTTGATTTTAATCCCATTAGTCCTATAAGAAAAAACTTGAGTAGCGCCATTTTGAAAAAATCCGCCATCTTGAATATGACGCCACTCCTGATAGGGTGCTGCGGGTCAAATTAAAGTATTATATGTAAGGAAACTTTCTGCCAAGCGGTTTGCTTGTTTGGGTGTGATGTGTGGGTCTATACCTATACCGGTCTGGCAAGTGAACATCTTAAGGCCGTTTTACAGCTTGCAAGAAAACTTGAATGCAACTTTTTGCATGCAAAAAAATTGCATTCAAGATTTCTTGCACGTCGTTTTACACCTTGCATTTCAACTTGTTTCCTTCTCTAACCTTAACCATACTTTTTGGTTTTTAATTCTGTGTTGTTGATGTTTACATTTTCCAAAAATGAAAAAAGTGATTTTAAGTCGATATAAAAAGAAGAAGGCAATAGCAGCCACTTTAAGCATCATAATTGCTAAAAATTATCCAACTTGCGCAAAAACCTTTTAAGAAAAATGGCACCAAACCGATTGCATGCAATGCCATTCAAGTTTCAAGAATCTTGCAAAAAACAATCAGCTGACTCATTTCTACGCATGCCCTTGTTCAAGTTTCTTGCATATTGCAGATAGAATTGCAAGCTGTAAAACGGCCTTCACATGCCAATTTAAATGAATGAAATGTCTAGAAAAAGTATAAAGTTAAATAGAGAACGGAAACGATTTTCCCTGTTCCACCTCCAGCATTCCCAGCGCTTCATGTTACTTTGGTGATCGAGAACTGATTTTTTTAACGAGGCGTAGCTGAGTTAAAAAAATAGTCGAGATCACCAAAGTATTTCGCGCACGAGTTGCAAACAATATTTTTTCTACAATTCTATTTAAATATCCATCATTCGAAGCTTAAATTGCATTTACAATCAAAGGCAGGTGAATTTTAATTATTTTTGGTTTTCTCTCAGGAGTCAGGTATTTGTTACCTGAGCGTGCGAACTAGGCATTTCGCATGAATCATTTCGCACACGGCGTCATGGGAAAGCTAAAAAATCTACCTGGGAAAAAAGTGTTACTTCGCAAATTGTCATCAGTGTGCAAACATCATCATTTTTTGACAGTTGTAGAAAAAACTTATTTGCTTATAATAAAAAAAATACTAATTCTGAAATAATGTGCCTTATTCTGAAGACAATAAAATCGAGAACTTTCAACAATAATTTGTACCTTTGATATACATACCTACTATGAAATTTTCAAAATTTTTAGGTACCTATAAAGTAACCATTAGTTTGTAACTTGACAAGAAAAGTTAAGTTTAAACCGGAATAATTCAATAATTAACATTATTGGTGCAATAATTCTCAATGCTAATATTTGTTTAAGTGTTCAGCTTATAATTTAAAAAGTGACATTTGTCACTTTTCTGCACTAGTGCGGAAAAGTGAAACTTTCCAAACTAAAATGCGTGCGGAAAAGTGCACTTTTCCGCACGCTCGTAGAAAAAAAAAAATTGTGAAAAAATAAAAATACTATTGAAAAACAGCAGGGGGTGAGTAAAAACTTCATAAAGCAAAAACGTTGTAAGTGTTTTACGTTGGTTAAAAAAAATCATTATCATTATAGATTTCAAACGGCCCTTATGACCACAGACGACTCCTAATCAAAAAAGTCTTCAAATAGACATTCTAGACCAAATAATGTTGCACATCTTTTATTAAAAAGATTTTTTTCTAAAATCAATAGGTACTAAGTTATCACGAATGGCGCACTTTCAACACCTATAGCGCAAAGGGGATGCATTAGACAATTTTCCTAGACTATTTATCAGCACACCTGTTGTACTGAGTATTTTAAATGGGTACTTGAAGTAAAAACTTGAGTACAAAAATATACTTAAGTATTCGACTTAAGTACTAATCCAAACATTGGTACTTCTACTTACAATTTCAAGTTTTTGAAATTTTACTTGTACTTAATACTTAAAATATCAGTCAAGTATATTTTACTTGAATACTTTTGAAATTTTGTACTTAAATGATAATAAATTACTTATGCCCGATTGCACCGTCTCTCCTAACTGAGGCTTAGCGATAACTATCCCTTAAATTGACAGTTTTGCATGGGAAAATGTCACTTTAAAGAATAGTTATCTTTAAGCCTCGGTTAAGAGAGACGGTGCAATCGGGCATTAAGTAACAAAGTGAAATTACTTGAAGTAAGTATTTTTAAATACTTCAAAAGGATAACGCACACCTAACATAGGATTTTTGGGCTCTATGGATTTTGCCCATTTTTTGATACGTTTTAGAGGATTTAATTCTGGACAATCTTTAAATGGGACGAAATCTTGTAGGTATTACGGTTTTTGAGATATGAGCGTTGAAAGATGAAATTATTAAAACATTTTTTTGGGAAGAGTATACGAAAAACTGGTATTTATCAGTCAAAAATTTGGCAGGTCGACATATTTCACGTCATTAACAAACAATAGACTGAGTTGACATAAAAATATGTGAACCTGTCAATATTTTGACTGATAAACACCAGTAGCACCAGTATCTCGTATACTCTCCACACAAAAAGTCGCAAAAAAGTACATCTTTCAACGCTCATTATCTCAAAAACCGTAATACCTACAAGATTTCGTCCCATTTAAGGATTGTTCAGAATTAAATCTTCTACAACATATAAAAAAACGGGCAAAATCCATAGAGCCCAAAAATCCCATGTTAGGTGTGCGTTATCCTTTACTTGACGACTAAATAAGGTTTTGTCTATTCATCGCGTGACGTCATAAACACACGCAAAAATTGAAAGACCTATTTAACTGTCGCAGCAATAGGTGTGAGAATGCAAAAACAATACGATAATGTCGATAATAGCTCCGTTCCAACCGACATGAGAAACGTTCTAGAACGGTAATTTCCAGTCGATCAATTCTTTTGTCAAGTAGGATAAACGTTCAACTTAGGTGGGAAACTGGAAATTACTGGTTCTGGAACGGTTCTCATGTCGGTTGGAACAGAGATAATATATGCAGCAAGAATCAGAAAACGCGCGCCAGCGCCGGCTGTCGGACTCAGTTTGTGCATATGACGTCACAGTGCTAGGAGTGGGAACTTTATACCATGGTATCTTCGCAACGGTGGGTCGTAGCCTAATGCGGTTTGAAAATTTGTTCTTGGATTTTTTTTTCTAAAACTTTTATTTTTGGGTCACACCCTCTTTAAGATTATCGATAGCAATAATTTAATTTGTTAGTTTAATTCGAGCAATACTTGAAATAAAAAATACTTAAATTATTTTTTGAAGTATTTCTACATAAATGTCATTTCAAGTACCTACGCAAGTTAAAGCAGATATGTACTTAAACTTGACTCTGACTTTTGTGGAATTTGGTACTTGTACTTGAATTTGGACAATTCAAGCGCAGTTTATTCAAGTCAATTTACTTGATATTTTAAGTGTTTCCTTCTGTACTTATACTTGTACTGATACTTGATTCCTATTAAGAAAGGAACTTGTACTTAATACTTAAGTACTTTTTCTTGGTACTTACAACAGCTCTGTTTATCAGGGCCAACATTTCTAAAATTTGAAGATTTATTAAGTTTAAGGGATTTTAGCGTTAAATAAAAGTTAATCTGAAGAAGTATCTGCAGTTTTAAATGCTAATTATAACAAGGACACTCGAATATTCAAGTCAGCATTTTCTCTCTGAACCTCAGTACAAAAGGTTGAATAAATATTCATAAATACTAGTCATTCAGAATAATGGAAAGTGGAAATTTAATTAATTCTTTCCACCACGAAAAAAAAAAAAACACTTACCTTATAAACTTCACAACAGCTGATATCGGCGCAAACAGTAACGGGCTGAGTAAGACTTGTGACCTTAAGATCAATAACAGGAATGTAAAGTTTCTTCCTTAATTCGGCCAAGCTTAATCTTTCAAGGTCCAAATTATGTTGATGATTACGTAAAATCTGAATATTATCATTAACGAGTTGAGCTATGTCAGCCATCGGCTGTGACAACTGATAAATTATTCTTCTGGCTTCATTAACGGCTGCAGTATTATGGACCATATGAGGTTTTAGGTCAGAAATGTAGGAAATCATTCTAAAAAAAAAAAGATTATACGTTTCAATTATAAATAAGATTGTTTCAGTATTTTTATTGGCACTAATGAGAGAACTAAAAAAGAAAAGAGCAGAGGTACTTCTGCAACTATTGACTCGTACTAACTAAGATTTTATCAATTTTAATCCCAAAAAATACTATAGAGAAACATTCCCTCCTTATAATAAAAAGATTCCACTTACTGCCAACATTGAGCAGTTGATCTGTTCCAACTTTCCACGCTCGATTTTATCATGTGGTCTGATAACTTTACACCTTTTTTAATGGCCACCAAGTTTCTGAATGCCTCATTGTCAAAACAAAAAGCGTTAGCACCCAATGGGATTTCGGCATGAGCAGGATCTTTCCTGAGACGATCGATGATCTCTTTGAAAAGTTCGTAGGTTCCACCTGGATGATAATCACTATCTGGAAATATTGAAAAAAACAACTTATTGCTTTGATTTACTCAAGAATTATGATTTACCTTTAGAAAAAGTAAAAATAAATATGATATTTTTACATGCCGTTTTATCCAATCTACAAAAAATCTGATTGAAACAATATTCGAAGTAGACTGTTTTCCTGGATTGTTCGGACTTGGCCAAGTAGCAAATTGCGTGCAACTCCTGCAGGCGACTTATATATTGCAAAATATTTTCGCAATTTTCGTTGTCAAATTTTATACCTCTAGTGTCTCCCATTCCTGGAGTGTCTATGAGACGAACCTGAGAAATACTTTCAATATTCAATTCAAAAATTGATCAGTTGAAACTTACCAATGTGTTTCCGCCTCTAATCTTGAAACTGTAAGTTTTTACGCCTTGGGTAGCCGAAGCCCCAACATCCAGATTTTCATTGGCATCGTCGGCCGGCCCAATATCAATGTTGTGTCTCACTCCGTTTTTGTCTGTAACTGGAAAATTTGCTCGGATAAGGACGTTGACGAATCTGTTTTTGGCTTTTTCGAAATCTTCGGATTGTAGATAATTGAAAATAGAATTGATAAAGGTGGATTTGCCAGCGCCTGTTCCACCTATAAGGAGTATGTTTATTTGCTTGTTTTCCTTGAGGTTGAGGTCTTCTAGTTTGCTTTCGATAGCTTCTTTTGCCATGGTTGGTGGTGGAAGAGGCTGATTAGTAGGCTTTACCTCAGGAGATTTATCTGTAATAATAAAAGAGTTTATGATAGAAACTTTATTAGAATGCACGATTTTTTAGGTTCTATAGTCGAAACCTGCCTCAAAATTATGTTAATTCTGACTGTCTATGATAAAATACGGTTTTCCTTCACGCTGAATTATTTGGTACTTCCCCGATATCGAATAAAATACCACCCAGTCAAGTCCACGAACCGGTGTGAAGTTAGCTTCCAATTTTCCAAAGCTTGACAGCCAACTTCACCATTGGCGTAGGTAATTTTTTTTTTTTAAATTGTTTTTTGTAGTAAGTAGAGGAAAACTACAGTGCCTCTATACAAGACAGTGGCGACAATTGAGGGACCAATTTTTTATTGGTTCGTGTATTTGCCGCCATCTTGTTGCAACAGCGTTCCTGTTTACATTGTTCTCATAAGAATATTGGAGTTATTTTGTGAATTTTGTGATTTTCTAAGTTATTAAATGGATTCTGGTAGTTATTATTGTTTATTATATAGAAACTTTTGTATATTGAACATTAATCTGTGCGATACAGGGCCGCAACTAGAGGGTGGCGAACTAGGAGCCTGCCTAGGGCGCCTTATTTAATCCATCCATATTTTACAATCCAAAAAAATGCAACGGTTTTACGCGTCATTTATCGTAGTACGGAAATTTATTTTTCTTGAGTTATATCTCTCTTTGTCAACCTTCAACAATACGAATATCGGTAGTAATCATATAAATTACCTATGTCAAACACAGTGCGAGTGCAAAAGGCCGCAGCAAATTGCAATGTGCGTGATTTCGTGATAAATTCCAGTATTGATGACGTAGCGCCCAACATTCGTTAGCCAGAGATTAGCTTCGAGTCGAGCTTTGACCCGACCAAACTGAGCAAGAGCACTGTGGGCGACGTGGGCGCCCTCTGCATGCTGTACATAGGCGCCGGAACTTGAAAATTACTATGGGGGCTGGGGCTCCAAAAAAACACAAGTAAAATTATACAGACAGGACCAGTAGGCTACTAGACATTTAGGCTTGAATGGGACCAGTTGACTGATACACATTTTACTGCATGATCGCCACGCTGAATCGTTGATCCTTCCTGCATATTATTGAAATTCGTGAATTTCCGGCAGCTCGGCAATAGGTACTCGGTTTTGACAACACCGCTTCGATTCGCCTTAACCGGGTAGAAGCTAATTCGTCTTATTACTTAAAAATATGACTAGTAGGATGATCCACTCTGTATATAAATTTTCCATGATATACTAGGTAAAAAAAGCCAGTGTAGGTATTCCTGATTAAGAGGGAGTGAACTCTGCGCCTACCGGTAGGTCCCGTTTTTTCCATTGATTGTGTGCCTACCGAATATGTATAACTCTGAAACATTATGGTAGGTCCCCAATTGCCACATGATATAACGCCTTAAAAAGAATCCTGAGCCTACCGTTAGGTTCATATTAATTTAAGAATCCGTCGCCTACCTATTGTGCATTAAGTCCGTCGTTTTTAATATGACACTTTCCATATCAGAAGGGAGGGGGTGAAGTATATGGCAAATACAGGTGTGATGTGAGGTGACCATCGGCGTTATAATGCAGAGTGCCTCCAGCTCACATTACTTTCGAGTATTAGATTAAAATCGACGGACTCTATGTGCATTTACGTTTGACAGGTGATATATTTGAAAAAGGTTTTCCACGTTTTTGGTGGATTGACGCTTCCGAGAATCTTCTCTTTGAAGTTTGGCGAGTGGAGCGAGCAATCGAAGACTCAAAAATAATTTCAAGGTGTATGCAGAAGGCTTTTCAATAAGTTGCCGTGAAATGAAACAGATTCCAAACGTCAAGTTCAGCTTGGTGTTAGGTACCGAGTGTCAAGGTATAAAGTACCACTCCGTGTAACTGTTTTATGTACGATCGAAAATAAAAAAGTTACAGGGGGTGGTACTTTATAATTTGACACCCTGTACTAAAAATCGCTTATTAATCAGTGGACGAATTTCTTAATGACAATTCTACAAACAAAATTTTAACGCATTTATTTAGCAAGAGCTGACTGGTAGGATATACGGATTAGCACCTTTCCAAAAAGGACCTACCAGTAGGCGCTGACTCAGTGGATGAAAAAAGGCTTACTGGTAGGCGTACGATCGTTAGATGACAAATGACCTACCGGTAGGCGTAGGGTTCACTGCTTATTTATATTCATGTGATGTAAACATATATCATTAAAAAAAAACAAAAAGAGTATAATTATCCCAATCCGACTTTTTGAAAATACAGCTTCAAATACTACACGACAAAACATTCAAATTCTTTGTTAAAGTAGGTATGGCACAAACAACAAAAACTTGAAACACACAAATTTGACATAAAAATAAATAATTAGGAACTTAATATTTTTGTACCTATCCACTAAACTCACTACATACAATACCAAAATCACTATGGGGGCTCTGCCCCCATAGCAAATTCACTACGGGGGCTCAAGCCCCCATTGCCCCCATGGTTCCGGCGCCTATGATGCTGTAAGCATTATCTCTTATGACTCTTTTCTATTTACGTTTACGGAAACTATAATCGGGTTAACCCAATCAGCAGCTGGATGTTCTCTATCTTTCCTCAATGAATACGATTGAAAAAAGACAAAATACGTCTGCTGGTTATCGGGTTAACCCGATCATAGTTTCCGTAAACAGCTTTTACTTTTACAATAGCTTCGTTCGCGGTAAGAATTCTGAACTGTGGTCGTATTTTCGAATATTCTCGCATACGAAATGATACAATTTCGAATACTCCCCATTTAATTTAAATTGCTATCAGTTAAATTTCGTATACGAAATGTACTCGAATGGATGCGAAAATACGACCCTTGGGTCCTTATTCTTGAAACAGGAGAGCAGCGATCCCAGGAGAACGAGAGTCCAGCCTTTCTCAATGATATGGAACTGATAATATAAGTGACAAAGACAGAATACTTGTTCTCCTAACAGTGGCCGTTCGCCTATATGAGCAAGGGGGGCACCGCCACCCTGAAGAAAAAATGGAAAAATAAAAAGTACTCCTAATACAATATTTGAAAAGTTCGCGATAATATAAAATTCTGAACCAGTCTGATTCCAGAGCTGGGCATGCGCTGTACGACAGTCCTCAATTAGTTCCAGACTGGTTCGGAATCGGTTCAAAATATGAGCCTTTGTTGAAAATGTTTTGAAAAAATTTCAAGCAAAAGCCAAAGCATCAAAAAATATACATTTAACGTAGAATTTAAAAATAAAATAAAAAATTGGTGTTTTCATTTAAAAAAATAAAGTTAGCAGTCATAACTTGTTTTTGGGTCACCCTGTATATATGGTATTATCATCAAAAAAACGGCCAATAAAATCAAAAATTGAAGTGTGTCAGGTTTTTTGAAAAATATCCACCCTGTATATTTTATAGATTTTATTCCAACCTTTACGTGCTCACTGAAACTATTGTTATATTACTTTTGAGAAGGCGGTGGAGGGGTGCCAAAATTTGGACTTGCCTTGGGCGCCGAGGGTTCTAGTTGCGGCCCTGGGGTGCAATTTTCGAAACTATTCGAGTACATTTCGTACACGAAATTTGACTGACGGCAATGTAAATTAAATGGGGAGCAGTCAAATGGTTTCGAAAATCGCACCCCTGGTGCGATATATTTCCAGTTGGCGACGTTGGCGTCTCAATTTTGTTCAGATTTAAAAACTTTGTGTTGGGGGTGAGTACCCTATATTATTGACATTATTTCTAAATTTTCAAACGAATTTCCATATATTGAATAAAAAAATAGTTTGATATCTGTGAGAATCCATTGTCCATCCATTTTCAATTTTGTAATTTTAGGTTAGGTCGTTAGGATAGGAAACAATGCCAGGTTGTGTTGCCGTACATTGCAGCAAGGAGGAATTGGACTCCTACGTTGTTTATTGCGCAGCGAAGAAACCAATTAGCTGCCTCTTTGTTTAACACAGGTAAATAGAAAAGGACAGCAACAGTTTTACCATCAACCTATAGTACCTCTATACAAGTTTCATTAAATTATTTTCTTTTAAACGCCATATTACAGCTATGCCGCAAATATTAAAGTTTGCAACAACATGGCGGGTGGGCGGAGCTAACTCCCCATTGTCGCCACTGTTATAAGAGGTTTAATAGAGTCACTGTAAGGAAAACTATTTATATCTAATCCAGGTTTACATAACTAATCCTTGAAATTAGCTTACGGTGCATACCTGAGTAAGACATACGTTTAAAAAACCTAAACCATAGCAATCTTTGATTATTTTTTTTTTTTCGAAGACCAGATATCTTATAAGTACCTACACTCTATTTTTTCCCAAGATAGAATTTGACATTGTCAACTTTGAAACATAAACAACGCTGCTTATTGGTCGCAAGATGTCATTTCCACGAAATGCATTGTAAAACTGATTCCAACCTGCAAAGACATGGCATTTTGCGACCAAGTAGGGCCAAGCGTTATTGTTTATGTTTCAAAGTTTTCAATATCAAAATCTATCTTGAGAAAAAAATAGACTGTAGGTAAACTTATTTGTTTCATGAGGGTTCTTACTTTTGACAAAATTTGCCGTCAGTGTTACGATCTGTTTTACCAGGAGATCTCTTGTTTTCACTCTCAACCTCCTGTTCTACTGTTTTCACTATATATATATAAATAATAATATAATATATTACATACAATCTGATTCAATTTTACAAGTAGGTACCTATGATTTAATAAACAAAAAAGGATGTTTGCATTATACTTATTTAATTGATGCACCTAGGGGATAAAATCTACTGTTTCAGCCTCAATGTCTATTTTTCTACTTTTTTCTATGAAATCTTCGGTTGATTTCAGTAATTTTCCCTAAAATATTAAACTGCGCATGAAAGAAAAGAATAACGATATACTCCAGCTGCACGCCATTTTTTTGTTCGTTGGAATCCCCGAAGAATCGTGAGTTAAACAGGATTGTTCATCCTCATATAAAGCGTACGTTCGCAAATTTCCGAGTCGACAGGGCCTGCGAATGACGTCACCACTCTTAGCAGCATACCAGCTTATATAGTGATAATTTATTTATATTGGTGATTTATAAATCACTTTTCTATGGTCTATATAATAAAATTCGTTTTTCCTTCACGCTGATTTATTTGGTACTTCCCCGATATCAAATAAAATACCACCCCGTCGAGTCCACGAACCGGTGTGAAGTTAGCTTCCAAATCTTGACAGCCAATTCGACCATTGGCGTACTATTTTTTTTTATTCAACGAAATCATTCATAACAATAACATCTTAAGACGCGAACAGCGAACGAAGGCGAAAGAACATTAACAAACGAATTAGGCATGGGATAAATTAACCGGTTATTCCAATAACCAGTTAACGGTTAACCTAACGTTTCAAAACCGGTTATTTTCGGTTATTATTTTCATCAGGTTTTAGCCTAATAACCGGATTCACTTGGGAATAACCGACATTCAGTCATTCGGTTGATATATTTTTTAATAAACTATTGACTTATTTTATCTGTCCCCACTTATAGCATGATTTCAAATAACAATTTATTAAACGCAAGAAGTCCCAAAAAATTCCCAATGGAATGCATTTTTTAATCAATCTTCATATTTATGATAAGAGATGGCGCGACTACGCGACAAAAAACCAAAATCCAACGAACTGGAAACTTGAATTTTCACAAGGTTATTTAAAGGAGGTAGCATTGCCTGATAACTTTAATGACGTCATCTAAATGCCTAAACATAAAGGCGGCCACAGACATGCGGTATTCGGCGAGTCTCGAATCACAAATATTTTCTATTCGGCAAGTAGCGATTAGTGTGTATGGGTTGCACGGGCAATTATAGTGAATTTATGCCCGAGCAACCCATAGACACTAATCGCTACTTGCCGAATAGCAAATATTTGTGATTCGAGACTTGCCGAATACCGCATGTCTGTGCCCGCCTTAATGCAAATCTTTAGATCGTCCTGATGACGTCATCTTTTACCATTACCAGTACTACCAGACAACTTATTAACTTCGGGAATATTGGAATTTTCCATGTTTATTTTTGCAAAACAGAAAGAGAAAAAAATAAAAAGTGCCCTTCTCGATGGACATAATTGGTTTGCCACTTTGCGCATTTTCTTTTTCTCTGTTCAATTATGTAAAATAGAAAGAGATAGTAGTAGTAGTGGAGAGAGAGAAAATCATAACCGGTTATTGTGATAACCGGTTATTTACTCAAGGTTAATCGTAAGGGTTACCACCTCTCTGGGTTTCACCCGGAGTCTACGGGTTTTCACATATGGTCTCCGGGCTCAGAATTACTAGGTGTTTTCTCCGGGTAAAACCGCATTTAACAAAAAACACGCATTTAACAAAAAAAACGTAAAAATTATTCGTATGCCAGGAAAAAAAATATATATATATTTTGCAACAGCGCAATCTTGTTCATGCAAATACGGTTTCAATCAGAGAAATTATCCGAATCCAATACGCACGTAGGCGATGGAGAGCCCACAAACCTCAATGGCCCACGATCTCCCTCAAGGATAATAAAAACTACTACAGGATTGCTCCGATTGCTTATCGGACTCGATTTTTGGAATCAAGATCATATGATGTTGCACCGTTACCGACGTCATCAACGGCGTCGTTAACTGTTTGCGCCAGCGGTCGTAGTTTAGATTAGATTATACATTTATGAAGAAAAATATTATTTAATTTTGATTACCATACTAGGCAAAGAGGAAGATGCAAACGAGACTTAAAAAGGGGTTGTTTTAGAATGTTGATAAATGTATTTAAACCAAGTACTTATGCAATATGCATAAACCAAAAGCCAGCGGAATCATAGCCTGGGATGCAAACACCCTACGTCAAGGCGAGAAACGACACGCTGCCTACGTCATCACTGGTTCTTTAGCTCTGTGGCGTGGTGAGAGGCTTGAGATTTGATCTACACAGACCTTATAAGGGTGGGCTATCGTGTGTAGTGTGTAATATCCTTGGATCTCCCTCTCCAACCATCACAACTACCAACTACCAACCTCAAGCAACATCCGGAGATGCCGAGGGGGACTTGTGTATACAGGGTGGAATTTTTAAATGGAATAAATTCAGTATCAGAAAGCCTGTTTATTTTCTGGAAAAATTTAAAAAAACGGGTCCCTTTATTTTTAGTTCGGCACATTTTTTTGACCTTTTCATGGAATTTACCCCTCTCTTAAGGTTTAAAGTCAGGCCTATAGTTTATTACAGCAACGCGAGATGTCAATGCTGTCGCCCCTACAGTGTGCCCTAACTTGATAGTCGAAAAAAAAAATAGAAATCTTCATTTGGTTAAATTGTGTGATGGAACGTTTTTTCTTTTTTTGGCGGAAAGTATTATTTCTGTTTTACATAAACAGGGTTGTAGTTTCGACCAACGCAAATAATTTTGAACGTTCATCCGTCGGATTTATTTCTAAACAGTGTAGCTACGGGCGTATTTCCAACTATTTTTGCAGTAGCGAGGAAACTACATGTTCAAAAAATTTGAAAAAAATATATGTCGCGTAGAATTGCAATAGTAGTTCGTAATAAAAATAATGGGAAACTTCATCTATTCGTTTTGAAATAAATGATGAAAAACTACTTTTTTTTTCAGTTTTTGCGATATAACTCAAAAATGGCGAGTCAAATTTGCTTAAAAAAATTATGGATTAAAGTTTATCAATAACCATAAAACTATAAAACATATATTTTTTTTGGAATTTTTGAACACAAGGTTCAGAAAATAAGGGTTGACTTTAAACCTAAAGGGTAGAAACCACCCCCAACTTTTTTTTTTCAAATGTAAAGATATGTATTGTGATAGCTCGTTGGAATTGGCATAAAAAAAGGGATATGACCCATTATTTACTTTTGCATTTCCTTGATCTAGTTATGTAATTATTTTTGACAATAGAGAATTCTCGTGCCGTCTAAATTTCAAATACCGTAACGCTATTTGACAAGTATGACAGTTCTTACGGTATTAGCGTTAGCGGAGCCCGCTATCTAACGGAACTTACCGGATGCTTTACCGTAATTAAGGCTATGCTATGTCAAAACAAGTTTACGCTTCATTTATGTATGCAAAAACAGCAACTTCTAATAATTCCTCCATAAAAAACACCAAGGGAAAGTTAATCAACCTCAGGAATCTTTAGGATAAATAAAAGTTTCAAAACAAGCAAAAAAAGTTGGGTTAGATCATTCAACTCAGCTGTCAAAATGTAAACAAAATAACGGATTAAAGGATTTATGTGTCTTCGTGTCCGAGAACTATAAAATACCATGTGAAATACCGTATTGTTAGCGGTACCGTATTAGCGTAGCGTCTGATACACGAGAACTTTCTAACACACTATTTTAGGGTTGAGAGTCCGAGTATCAGGCATCAAATAGTGTGTCAAGGTCAGAAATAATTACATAACGTTACAAATGGGGCTTGTTTCGCATTAGGGTTCTACCAAGAAGAAATGCTGAAGATATTCAACAATTTTAACTGTAAAAAAATTGTGTGGAAAAATATGTTTTTATGTTTTTCTCGCTTTCTAGATCAGCGAAATGCAAAAGTAAATAATGAGTCATTCTCCTTTTTTTATGCCCATTCCAACGAGCTATCACAATACATATCTTTACATTTGAAAAAAAAAAAGTTGGGGGTGGTTTCTACCCTTAAGAGAGAGGTAAATTCCATGAAAAGGCCGAAAAAATGTGCCAAACTAAAAATAAAAGAACCATTTTTTAAAAATTTTTCCAGAAAATAAACAGACTTTCTGATACTGAATTTATTCCATTTAAGAATTCCAACCTGTATAGACAGACAATAAAGTGTAATGCATCTATCAGATTTGTAGATCTGCAGACTTTTTTTCCAGTTTTCTTCCGATAAAGGTTTTTTTTTTCTCCGGTTCAACTTACTTTCAAAG